CAGAATGCAACAACTGTAGTGTAATGGCCTGGTATTCCAGAATTTTGTCACTGACTGTACAACTAATTTCACCCATTTGCTGCCAACTCCCCAAGATGTCAATTAATATCATGGTATATGTTTTATAGTTGTCTGGTCGAAAAAGACAAGGCCTGGATACAAAGACAAGAAGGTTCCACATTTTTGAAGCCTATGTCTCTTCATCAAGAAAGTTAAAAGATGAAACTGAAAAGTTGAAAGAAGAAAAAAAAACTTTAGCTGATGAGTTATCAGACTGGAAGAAAAACTTTCAAAATCTAGAGACTGAATCAACAATGTTGTTTGAAGAAATGAAAGAAGAGTTAAAGAAGAAAGATGAAATAATTGATGAGCTCAGTTGTGCAAATGAAGAACTAAAGTCATATTGATCTATTAGCACAATCCGAGTAGACTTTCAAGACACTGTTAGGCAATGTCTTGGTCAATATATTTCTGAGAATCCAGATTTTGACCATAGTAATAATCCTGTAAAAATTAAGTTTTCAGGCGACGGAGCTCAAATGACCAGGAACACCAACTTTGTGATTTTGTCATTTGGAGTTGTAGACAGCAAGAGTGATAATGTTTTGTCAGCAAAGGGAAACCATAGCTTAGGCGTTGTTAAAGGGAATGAAAGTTATGAGCTTCTAAATCAGGCATTTGGTGATATATTTAATCAGATCAACCATTTGAACAAACTGAAGCATATTAAAGTGGGAGAAAAAATTGTTAACTTAGAAATATTTTTTGGTGGAGATTACAAATTTCTACTTCTGGTATTTGGATTGCAAAATGCTACTTCTAACTATTCATGCCTGTGGTGTAAAGTCCACAAAGACAAAAGATGGGATATGTCACATGATATTAGCTATTACACTTCAGTACAATTAAAGCGTTCCATAAAAGACATCCATGACCTAGCTGGTAAGTCAAAAAACAACTATTGCTGTGTTGCTCGGCCATTAGTAGAAATTGACCTTGATCATGTTATTTGCGATGAACTGCACTTGATGCTAAGGGTTGTCGATGTGCTTATTGATAATCTAATGGAAGACGTACTTGAATGGGACAAGACTGAAGACATGTGTAAAAAAAGGTCTGATGAAAGGGGAATTCATTTAAACAATTTAATAAGCACAATAAGGTCTTGTGGAGTAAGCTTCAACATTTGGCAGAAAAAAAGTGCTGAGGGTAACGCTTCAGGAAAATATGAATGTACCAGCTTACTCAGTCATGATAAAAAGATTCTTTTACAACAACTCCCACGCAAGTTGAGTACAGCAATCCAGGAAGATTCGTGCAGTGAAGTAATACAAATTTGGCAAGATTTTTATGAACTGTATAAAACAATTAATAAGGAACACCTGAGTGAGGAAGAAATTAACAATTATTTTGATAAAGCCAAAGCCTGGGTTAAGCTGTTTATTTCACTGAGTCCAAAACGCAAAGGATACAACAAATCTAGGGTAACACCTTACTTGCACATAATGGTGTACCATGTCCCACAGTTCCTTCGACTCTTCAAGACAATGAGAATTTTTTCCGGTCAAGGTGTGGAGAAAAATAATGATGTTGCCCGCAGCACAGTCCTTAGGAAATCCAACAAACTGGATTCTACATCTGATGTTTTAAAGCTTGAATTTCGACAGAGACAACTTCGCGAACAAGAGCGGAACAAGAGAACATATGAAAAAGTGGATGGAAGTTATTGGGAATCTGAAATTTTTAAGAAAAGGCAGAAGAGAAGGCTCGATCATATTTGAAGTAAAGATTATTGAAAAAAAATTAAACAGGAAAAGTTTTTATTGTGGAAGACCACCTAATCTTAATCCACAGTGTCAGCCCCCTCCGCTTCTGAACCCTGTTCATTGCTGAACCCTGTTCATTGCCTGTGCCACAGTTTAACATTGAAAGGGGAAGGGGGGGGGGAGGGTGGTTGAAATACATTTTGCATTAAGGTTCAGGACCAAGTTCCCACAATGATATATAAATGACAAAAAATATTGGAATTGGTTCAGTGTCAGTGGAGAATTTTTGAAAGCCTATGAGAAGCTTTTAGAGAAAATAGACTTCAAATAATTTTTTTGCTTAATTTTTATGTTATTTGTTACGTCAATTTTCTTGTTAAAGTTGTTTTGAGTTGGAAATTCATATAATTAAGTCATTAATGATTTGTGACAAAACTTTCTTTAACATTTTTACATGTTAAATATATAAAGTTTAATTTGTTCTTTATAAAAGTTATACAGTATATCACCATTGAATAAGAAAACACCAATAGATAAAGTTTTCAAAAATAGAAACTATTAATATCATGTCCAAGATAGATAGCAGTTTCTTGTTCAAAGATTTAGACGGCCACCGAAATTGCATATTTACACAGAGTATGCATGTGTGCCAAAACATATCTGCACAGTCTCCTGATAATATCTTGGAAGCATTTGTAAATCCCCTTTCTCTGTTTTCTTAAAACATTTTGGCCCCCAATGAAGAGTAGGTCTAGCCAAAACTGGAAAGGTTATAATTTTTCCATCTCCAAGGTGGTCGACATATCTATCCCATGACTCGGGTAGGTTGCACAGATCAAAGTCGTCCTTCCCAAACTCTAACCAACCCTTTCTTTTACTTAGTGTCCCTTATTTTTAAAAATGTGGTGGAATACATCATGGTGCATTTCCACTTTTGTAGATGTATCTGAGTTGCCATGCCTTGCCCGTAAATGCCTTAACAACCCTAATCCGAGAGCTTCTGTTGCCTTCTTGGCATCTTTCTTTGAAACAACAGGCTTGGTAAATGACCTGAAATTGGAAATTGAAATGTGTGTGAATTGATTTAAGAACAATTTATGTGAGAAAGCCTGGACAAGGTCATAATTTTAGCTTTAGCGCTAGACATCTAATGTTCAAATTCAACATGCAAGTGGCTTGTGTTATAATAAAGGTACCTCTTCTAAATTACGTTTAAATATGTTGTAAAAACTGTAATGCAACCTGTAGCGCTTTGTTTAAATTGTAAACTTTGAAATATGATACTAAGGTTAATCCTTGAGCTTGATTACTGTAGTATCTGTAAATAAGTGAAATGAATACATACATTAATGCTTCTGCATTTAAATTTTCTTCAGGTTCCCACGAATCTGTTAGTGCCCCGTAGCCTTTCCATCTGCACAAGTATAATTTCTATTGCATAAAAGGAAAATCAATCAAATGATTACAAGCATTTTATAAGATTATAAAGTAAAATATAGTAAGACGAGTATTAGCCATTAACTAATCTTTCTTTTAACAGTTTTGCAGGTAACAATTCTCTCCACTTCATACATTTTAGTCCTGCACTTCCTTGAATTTTCAAAGAACGAAATCGTGGATACATTATTCAAATCCCGCTAAAATCCAGCACTATGTTTAGAACGCTTGCCTGTCGCCATATTAAATTAGGCTTTTACCTCGTCCTCGCGCACACCACGCACAGCACACGCGAAAATCCCGAACCATTTTTTGAGACCGCGATTCACTCCGCTGACTGTCCTAAATTTCTGGCGATGAAAAGGAAAGCATGCAACTACAAGAATCAAATTAAAAAAAGAAAAAAAACGATGCAGATCAAGTCGTTTCATATAATTTAAGATAAGATTCCTTTAACTGTCTCTTAAATCGAAAAAAAGTAAGAGACTTCAAGGAATCTTCAATGCCATTCCAGACTTTCGGTCCAAAATATCTAATATTAAATTTACCAAAATTAGTTCTTATTTTTGGAAGGTGAAAAGTAGATTTCAAAGCAAGTCGGGTACTGTAATCGTGCATACTATTAGTAGTTGTGAAAAAAGAATCAAAAGCATTAAGTAACATACCCTGTACATATTGATACATAAAAATTGCAATGTATAACTTAATTATTTCATTTATTTTTAGTAGTTTTAATTTATGAAATATAGGATTAGTATGCGCGTCAAATTTAGAAAAAGTCATAATACGAATAATCTTTTTCTGTAGGAGAAAAATAGGCTGAATATTTGTATCATACCCCACACCGTACAGCCAAATATAAGGAAAGGATATATAATAGAATAATATAACTGGATTAGAATTTTAGTTGTGACAAAGTGACAGACTTTGCATAAAACACCTGTACCTCTAGACAGCTTTTTACAAATACTTGAAATATGATCCTTCCAATTTAAGTGGCAATCCAACATAACTCCTAGATATTTAATACTCCTAACTTGCTTTATTAATTTATTATTAATAATTAACTTCATAGAGTAGTTAATCTTTCTTTGATGAGGTTTAAAAATTACAAAATTATTTTTTTCAATATTTAATGATAGTTTATTTGAACATAGTCATGTATTTATGTTACTTAGCTCATGATTTATGATACTTTCCATTGTTTGTAAAGATTTGTATCATCTGCAAAAAGATGAAAATCAACCACAGTTGACGATCCACTTAAGTCATTGATGTATATAAGAAACAACAATGGTCCAAGAACTAAACCTTGTGGAACACCACATGTGATTGATTGGTAATTAGAGGTCTCATCGCCCATTTTAACAAATTGCTTTCTTTTACTTAAAAAAGAACAAAACCATTTCCCAGCAATCCCCCTGATTCCGTAATATTCAAGTTTAGCAAGGATGCCATGATCAACAGTATCAAAGGCTTTTCTTAGGTCCAGAAAAATACCACAAGCATAACATTTATCCTCAATAGCCATTTCAATTTTATCAGTTATAATCATAACAGCTTGTGTAGTAGTATGAGAAGATCAAAATCCAAACTGATTGTCACTTAATATTTTAAATTTCTCCAGGTATTCTATTAGCCTATTATACATAAGTTTTTCAATTTCAAGGATTTTATCAAAAATAGAAAGGAGTGAAATTGATCAAAAATTGCACATATCCAAATGAGAACCATTTTTATAAATAGGAATGACCCTACTGACTTTTAATTTGTCTGGCACAACTCCTGTTTCAAATGAACAATTAAACAGAATATTCAGAGGGACGCTGAGAAGTGATTTTAAGCAAACAATTAATCCCCGAGCCGGCGGCGCGAAGCGCCGTGCGAGGGTACTAATTCCCCCCGGCTATTTACACCCGGGGAAACGAAAGCATTAGGGAAGTCTGAAGTTCATCAAATATCGCGGGCGTGGGTCACTGTGCGTGTTTCGGTGGGTGGTCATCTTCACTGATCTCAAAAATATGGCGGACTGTCATGAATAGCGAACACTGATTGGTCAAATTTAAAATTTGTTGTTGTACGACGAATGACGACTTCAACTGACAGATACTTCATGGAAATATTTTGCTTTTTGCACTGCAGTATTTTGTACGTTTGCAAAAAACTTTGACAGCTTTCAAAGCAATTTGCTCTATAAAGAGTTTAATAAAACAATTATGGTATCAAATACCAATTGAAAAGATATGGACTACTGTATGGAGCCAAATGAAGAGCAGCAAGGAAACGACAAGAAAGCCGAACGTCTCGCGAAAAGGAGGGAGCCAGCGAAGACGACAACTTTTGCTCGAGGAGACTGCTGAGGAAAGAGAAGCTCGCCTGGGAAAGCGTAGAGAAGCATGGAAAAAAAGACTGCTGAAGCGAAAGGTAAGCAAAGGCTTGTCTTCACAACGCTATGTACCAATGATACTGTAGCTATATATACAAGTTGAAGTATGATATTCGACCCTCTATATTCGACTATTTCTTCACAATTTTCCAATAAAGAGTTTGTCATGACACGCTCAAGTCAGTATAACCAGACTGTATTTTATTTATATCAGTTATCACAGCCACAGGCAATTTTATGCTGTCAAATACCGTCGGTGGCAACTAAGGGTGAACAGTTGCAGATAAAACATTCTCTATTCTCATTAAAAAGCCTGTAAAAGTTTCCAGTAGGTCTCTAGCCCAACAAGTTCAGACAAAGTTTTGTTACTTATTTTTATTGCACACATGGGAAACAACAATTAAGTGTTGTTGTTCTTGACAAACATTGAAGATTCTAATCACGCGAATGTTTTTATGAGCGACTGTTCATCGTTAGTTGCAAACGACGGTACAACATACTATGAACATTTTTCCGACTGTGACCGAATGTGCAACGATATATTTTTCAAAGTTGTTAACAATTCCTAAAATTTGTTTATAGTAAAACAGCCTGCTTAGCACTCACTACTCACGATGATTTCATTTAGAAATGCAGTTACCAGGAAAGGAACTGATTCTAAAATATGTAAAATTAAAAGCATTGGCTATTACGATGTGAAGACAAGGTACAAACTTTTATAGTTGCTATTTGTTATAAATCCTATAAATAAACCGATTCAACAATAATGTTGCCTCGAATTTGCATATTCTATGCTGCATGTTTATATTTTATTTTTATAGTATAAAAATAAAATTGTAATACTATGAAATAAAATACATTTCTGTTTATTGAACAGTACTTATTTAATGTCTTCTTCATCCAGCGGTCAGAGTAAATTTCTACTTCTAGCAAGTAAATATTTGACAAGCAGTCTGGAATAAGCACAGGACTTTTAATGCATCAGCCAAATCCAAGTGTGCCATCCCCCTCGCCCAGCCATTTTCCTGTAAAGCACATCCCGGGGGTTGGGCATTTCCACTCGAACCTTAGCCCCGGCAGGGCATTTGAAATTAATAATTTGGATTCTTGCACTTCACTTGTGGAATTAATATTGGAATGTTAGGGTTTGTAATCCAAGTGAGAATATATACATGTATATATTTTGTAATCC